ATCGGGCTCGATGCACAGGGCTTCACCTGGACTTGCTCATGCGGGTGCTGCCGCCGAGCTTGCTTTGGAGCTTGCGCCCGAAGAGTAACTCGGGATACTCGCAGCAAGATCTTTCCGGATCGATTCGAAGCTTTGCGGCTATTGCATATTTTCGGACGACGCTTCCGTGTTCGCTTCTCGAGTTGCCAGTGATGAGCATAGCAGACTAATAGTGCTCATATTGAGTGGCGTTGGACAGGGAAGTCGTCAAGTTTCTCAACGAGCATCTGCACTTGCACACATTGGCCTGTGTTGTGTGACAGGAAACAAGTGCCGTCACAGCCATGCAGATGCGGGCTTCGAGGCACGCAGGGGCTCGACAGGGACATGATGGGACGGCCAACGGCAGCAGTTTCAAGCAATGTTGATGTCTTTGCATGTTCGGAGTGCAGCCCGGAGCAGTTGCACAGACGGGGAAATCTGAAATTCTGTGGAGGTTGGATCGGCCGCGGAAATCGGCGAGCGCCTTCGTGCAGCTTGGGCAGAAAGTCGTCTTTGGAGAAGCAGTCAATGATACTCCGTTCACGCCTAGGACTTCGCCTGCGACGATCCGACAAAATGATGAAGAGACGTATGAGCCCCAGAGGTTTCAGATGTGTTGCACAGATGATGCGCGAGGACCAACACCCAAAAGCTTCAGGTGAGGGGGCCGGAAACTGCTGCAACCCTTCTGCCTCGCACAGGATTCACCAGTCCAAGTTCGATGTGGGGTCGCTGTATCAGGCCAGTTGGCAGGAATCGATGCAAGGAATGTAGGGTCAGCATTGTCCAGAGGTCCCAACGCATATTCTCAGCTGTGTGGCTGCACATGGGCAGCAGAATTTCTCTACGATTTTTGCTTAGTGTCTTGTTTCATGGGGGGTGGGGGGGGTTTTGAGCACTTGACATGCGCCATTACCCGCGGGCCATGCTCCTAGAACTGAAATTGTCACGGGGAAGCATGTTGGCCGTGCTCCGGGATCCGCCAGTACTTTGGGGAAAGCTTCAGGGTTGCAGACGAATGCAGAGACGAGTGGTCAATGGGGGGCGTGCTCTGGCATCCGCAAATGCTTGGGAGAAAGCTTGGGGGTGGCATTTTGGCGGCGGTCCCGAATCTTCCTGAATCCTACCAGTGGTCGGGGTTTCGTCAAAAGTACACAGACTAGCGGTTACTCTCCTTGGGACGAGCTTCCTGCTGGACGTGCAGTCCTGTGACTTTTGCACAAGTCAAGACCCTGCGTCACGGTGCCCCGAGAGCCGAGTTCATGGTGCATTGAGAATGCATGGACCGCATTCTCGGAAACCCTGAAATCGCAGCAGTACTTGGGGAAATAGATATTGGGCTTCTGAACATCGCCAGTCTTGGGGGAAAGCATGTTTGTGCATGCTCCTGAAATCCACCAGGATTTTGGGGAAAGCATTTTGGCATGGTCCAGAATCCACCACCAGTCGCCAGCACTTGGGGGAAAGCATTTTGGCAGCCCCAGCAGTACTTGGGGGAGAAGCACATGGAAAGCACGTGTGCCGTGACGTGTTTCCGCCAACGCTCGTATGATGGTTGTGCACGGGATAACTACTAGCACATACATAGTCCAGATCAAAGCGCAGTCCTCGACCCTGAAAACCTTGAGACTCCTGCTTTTGTTAAGCGGAGCGCCGGCCTGCAAACTGGGCGTTAGTGTCCAGGACAATAGGCTTAATCAGGTCCCGACGTCTAGAAGCCCTTGTTTCCAGACGACAAACCTAAGCAAGCAATGCTTCAGGATGAAACATATGGCTCAAAGGACCAAGCCACAGACAGAAGCAGACGATGGGAGGGGGAGAAGACCGGAAGCCAAGCGAAGCAGACGAGCTGAAGAAGCGCAGAAGAGCTGCTCACAGAAAAGCGCCGGAGCAGACAAGCAGAGCGGGAAGAGACTAGAAATCCGAAGATTGAAAGTTCAAACGCAGAGGCACGGAAAAAGCAAAAGTGCAGACGCAGACAATCGGAGCGGCAGAAAAGCGGAAGCTGAGAGGCAGAGAAGCGCTGCAGGATGAGACCGGAGGGGCAGCGAAAACGGAAGATTAGAAAAGCGCAGCATTACCAGAAGGACGGACGAGCGGAGGAGCGGAAAAGCAGAGCGCAGCGGCGAGGCCAAAAAGCAATACCTGCAGATGCAAAAAATCCCACAGAAAATTGCACTCCCTTGCTGTTCTCAGAAGTCATGCCGTACTCGGTGCACACTCGCACTATCATCGCACTGTCCCGAAGCCTGGAAGCCAAAGTCGGAGAGTTTTGCGGTGCTTTCCAGGGCCACCTCGAAGCACTCCAGAACGATCGAAACTGCATGCTGGCATGCCCGACATGCTTTCAATGCTTTCTGATTCAGTGAGTGGACCATTGAAGAGGCGAGACACAGCTGCATGGCAAGAGTCTTGAGTTTAGTAACGCAGCATGACGTGATACACGATGATGGTCTCTGCCTGTGCACAAAGTTTTGCTCATGGCAGGTCCATTTCGCAAATGGTCGCATCCTTTTCTCGAACGCTCCTCCCCCAGATTCCTCAGCACACAGTGCACGTCAGCGCCGTGTGGGCCGTATGCCGGGTTCTTTTCGCATCCGCCATATCGGCGAGAGCTTGGACTTGGAGTCGGCTGATGTGGCTTTGGAATCACCATGGTTCGAAGACACCTTCTCGTTCTGTTCTGGTTGAACAACTCAGGGCTTGCTCGAAAGGCTCCCGAGAGGAAATTCAGCGCGATGGGCTGCAAGAATGCTTGAGCAAAATCAAGGCTTGCTGCGACCGGCTCTTCAGCCCCTTGACGCCGCTGCGGCACAGGGTCGGCTTCGGCAGGGTTGTGTTGGTGTATCCGTACTCCTTGGGGCGATGAGACCGTGCCAGGAAGTCACAGAGATCGTAGCGGAGGAAGATCGTGAGGAGCTTGGTTAGCTCACGCTCGTGTCCATGGCGCATCTGCTTGCCAAGAATGAACGTGGGTCGCAGATCCAGCCTGGTGGAGCCATGCGAGCCATGCTTCGAGGTGTCAATTTTTCCTCGAGGATAATGTATCTCAGCATCGGCAAATACAGCGTCCCGGGCTAAGGTTTTTCAGCCTTTGCTCCGCTGAACCATTGTTGCCGTAGGTGACTCGAAGCTGAGAGGTCTGAGAGCTTTCCATTTCTGCAGGTAATGCAGAGGGAGCAGTTTAAGATCATCACAGTGGCATCCTCAGACTCTGCTCGGATATGGACAGCTGGTGCAGCAGGTCAAACGAAGAGCATGCCATGTATTCTCATCAGAACCGAGCTGTAGGTTGGATTTGTAGTGAATTGCAGCGATTGTGTCACCGGTTTGTTTCTGACTGTCGGTCCTCAGCTCTGAGACAACAACATGTGCCCACGGATGAGGCAAAAGGAGTGGTTCCGGCCAACATCTTCGGAGAGCATCTCATGGGCAGTGTGCCGGCGCCTGAGCTTGGATGGCTATTGGTCCAGTGCTCTGACTACTGCCTATGATGACACAACTCGCGCCAACAAGATTCAAGAACAGTCAGCCATGTCTTGCCCAAGCCAGACTAGGTGGTGGATGGATTGCGAGCTGGTGGAGGATGAGGCCACTAGATCACAGCTGGGACCTAGATGACTGGATGTGGTGAGCGCCCCAAGTATGGTGGGACACAATCTGCAGACTTTTGAGCAACCTTTGCCCGCAGGACTACCAGTCCGCAGCCTAGCAAGGTGCCGTGGATCTGCCAGGAGGGGCGAGATCGAGGGAAGCGAGAGTGGCTGTCCAGCCGCAAGAGTTGCTGTCCAGCCGCATTCCCAAGGGCTGTTCGGCCTGCAACACCCCCTGTCTCCATTCCATAACTAGTTTTCATGTGAGGCCTTTGTTGTCTCAGGTCTTTCGAGTGCCCCTACTTAACATGTATTTCAACAGTTGCACGAGAACTGCCCTTCTACTTGAAGGTCCACTTGCCTTGTATCAACGGAAATGGATTTCTCGGCGTGTTTACATTTGTTGAACTGCCGCCATTGATGCCAGGCTGCCCCGAGTGACGGCTTCTGAACAACCTACCGCCAGTATATTTTAAATGCCGAGCTGCAACTGCTTTCATGCCCTCGTGATCCAACCTCTCTCTCACTGCCATGCTAGCTATGTAGCATCTACAGCATGATACTAGAAGCAGAGAAAGCCTGAAGCTTCTATGCGCATGTGGATCGCGGTGGGAAGGTCCAGATGTCATGCTTGGTTTCTCTACTGTAGACGCAGGGACCGAATCCACGTATCGTGCAAGAAGACACAGCTTTTAACAACGGCCGTGTAGGACTAATTTCTGCACAATTTGCACCTCAAGATAGGATTCGGGCTGCGGGGTCGGGTGCGTGCGAGATCTTGGTTTGGAAGCCGCACTTCTTTTCGCCGGTCAGATACCTCAGTCACTGACGTGGCTGCGGACACCGCAGCTTACCTAACTAGAGTACGGAATGGCAGTTGACGGCCGAGCTTGGGTGCCATCTTCTCCCGGGCTGTCCTTTTAGTTGTTTGTACAGTCAGAGTGGAGATTGCATCTGCCATCAGGCGCATCAGCACGGCCGCTTGTGTCCATCAGTGGGGAATCACTAAACAACCGCTTTTCAGGCACACAGACCTGGACAAGAATATCGTCATGAGATGTATCGGGCGGTCCAGGGCGCGGCGGTTTGCGCACTGCGCAGGATCCACAGATGAAAGATGATTTCGATTTCCGACTTGGACACATCCCTGCAAATTTCTCAAAGCGGGGCGACCTGTGCAAAGGTGCCATGAGATAGTTTCACCCATGCCATGCGCGGGCATTCTGATACCCCGGGCTTGGTAGCAAAGCGGGCTCCCTGCCTTTGCCGGTGCCCGTTCAGGTTCAGGGATCATCAAGGCTTACGACAACCGGTTAACTTTCAATGTTGATCTCCGGACTCCGGAACCTTCTCACTACCTCGGAGACCAGAGAGCACAGTGTCGAGGTGGCGACTCCGGTCGTGGCGCCGCCCTTGCTAGCGGCACCGGGAAGGCCAGCAAGGCGCAGAGACAGCACAGGGACCGGAATCCGGAGCATCTTCCATAGACTGAAGTGCAGTCAGAGGGAGCATGGTATTGCTGCGATGTCGGTATGATGCAGGCAAGATGGCTCCATATGGCTCACATGAGGCAGTGATTATAGTTCCAAAACCAAGAACACTAAAGCAGGCACGTTCATGGAGCAGCCTTTCTATGGGGTTTCTCATGTTGGCATCACACCTTACGAGCAGACATAAGCATAAGTCAAAGCGAAGAGTCTGAAGAAACATGGGTGGTCCCATGAGTGAGAACTGCGCTTTCGCAAGCTTCGCCGGGGACTCAGCTGGCCAAAGTTAGCGATGCCGGACGTGTTGGGCTCAGGCGGTAACCAAAGCCAAGCATGCGTAACATCGCACTGTTGGAATGGGGCTCTGATCTCAGCCATTTCAGGTGCTTAAAGCAGAAAGGCACTGAGCAGAAGGGGCTTTTTGCAGGTCCAGCCTCGCTTTTCTACATCCAACCGAGAGAGCTCATAAAGGCTCCTCTCCGGGGATGCTCTCTCGGTTGTCCCATGTCGTGCTTCCCTCATCTGTGCAGGTTAGGACACGATGGCTGGATGGTGGCCCGGCGGCGTGCTCAAGTGCGACCCTTCTTTCACATGCAAACGACATGGAGTGCAGCTCAGGTTTTACCTCCGTTCCTCAGCACGATGCAGGAGGCACAGGCCCTTGCCTTACCTCAGGAAGCTTACTTACACTTCTTGATGGTGTGTCGTGATCGTGCGAGACGCTTTTCAGCAACAACTGTCTCCGCATGGATCACATCTCGTGGGCGCGTTCAACAGACCACAATCCCCTTCTGATGCTTCGAGTGGCAGTGTTCCTTTGAGCTCCGCCGCAAGCATCCACACTTCAGGATTGCCTTGTTCTGCACGGCTTCTTGTCGGGAGTAGTGGGTAGGGGGAGAAGGAGGGAACACCCGAAAGATGTGTTCCCACAGCCTGTGGGCCGTGAATTCCCTTTTGAGTCTTTATCATGTATCATGGCCGGAAATCAAAAGTTCAATTGCCACACGCAGCTCAATCAAAGTGGTCAAACAGGAGAACCAAGACGATGGTGGTTGATGCTCAGTTAGTTTCTCAAATCTGTGAAGAGCCATAGAAGAATCCTGCAAACAGCCTCCGAAAGGTCTCACAAGGCGTCGTAAAAGGAGAACAACAGCCGCTGAAGGAATCTCATATGTCGCCTTTACAGGGCAGCAGGAACAACCTTGCTAAGGGTTCTGTAAGGAGCACTTCAAGCGACTGATAGCTTACGAGGTCATGAACCATCTTTGCAGAAAGGACCCAGCAAAACACTGCAAGCAGCATGCTGGCCCCTGTGTGTTGTATGTTGCAGCCAAGTCTCCGTTCGAAAACCAACAAAAAACCTGTGTTGTGTAGAGTCTGCGGCTTGAGGCAACTGGATACGCTAGTGGTATGTCACGCGAGCATGCCAATCCGGATGTTACGATTGGCAGCTTCGGACACTGAAACTGTCTGCAGACTCAGCATCGCTGAGGCCCATGATCCTGATCTGACCATTCGATATGCCTTTAGCGCCTTCGAGGCTGGCGACGGTATGACTTTTCTTTCGGGCGGTGTTTCACTCCGACGGCAGTGGCAAGAGTGAAGTAGCAGTGATCCTGGCAGGACTTGAACGGTGCCATCCGGAATCTGAGGAGATGTTTCGGTTTCCCGTACCAGGAGTACATCGGGTGTTTGTCCGAGCTTCGCAGGTGTCATGGCATTGAGGGCAATGCATGCCTCGAAGTGTGCAGCTGAGGTACATGAACACCCTCACTCACCAGTATCGCACCCGAAGAGAGCACGAGGCCGGCTCGATAATTGATACGACGTCGAACAGGTGACTAATAGCTGAAAGCAGGACCAGACGTTTTGAGAATCAAGCTGGGGCTTTTCGAAACACAAAAGGTAGCGCATTAGGAAGCAGAAGTTGCCGCAGGGGTCACTGTTGTTAAGTGGAGTAGAGGTATTGTTTCCCTGTCCATGGGAAGCTCTATACAGTCACATATATATATATATATATATGTACATATGTACATTTTAAGAGAGATACCTCTAGGGTCTATTTTGCCAATCTTTATGTAAAAACTAGCTAAATAAGTCCATGAATATATATATATATATATATGTAAATAACTGGGTCGGGGGTCAAACTCGAACCCTGCGTTTTGGCATATTACGGCAGCCTCGCCTCCAGAATCACATTCTCGGCGAACCTGTTCAGGGGCGTGGTTGCACTGCGCACCTCAAATCTCCTGCTTGCACCATTGTTTGGTACGTAAAGAAAACCAGAAACGCACACCCAAAGCAAACTAACAAACACAGAAGCCAGAAAAGCCCCAACAACCAAAACCAACAAAAACAAAAACAATAAAACACAGTTTTCGCAGACTCTTATTACATGCCCCCTTACATACACATATTTGCATAACATTTTTTGTGTTTTGTTTTTTTGTTGTTTTGGTTTTTCTGGTTTGGTATAGTTTCCCTGTGTTGAAATATGCCAAAGAGCAGCGGTCGACTTTGACCCCCGACCTCCATTTTTATATGCACGATATCTACAAGACAAATGTTTGAGAGTAGATGAAGCTTGTTCGATGTTTTCCGTTTATCACAGACAACGTATTAAGTATATTACATACAAACCCAGTCGACTTTTTTTAGATTCTTTATTTTGGTTATCTAATCCAGAAAATAGGTTAGATATCTGAATTGTGTTTGAAGTGCAATTCAGTCGGTTAGTTCAAAATAACTGTGAGATACACAAAGCAAATTTAACCATTTCCTTGAGGATAGTTCCCGGAGGTTCCGTTGTGTGACTGCATCAAATATGTTAGATACATTAAATATACAGAACTATATTAGATATTTTTTAATTAAGTATATTAAGTATAGTAAATATATTAACCCATCAAATATATGAAATATACGAAATACATAAAATCCAGGGCGCGTTTAGTACGTTTGCCGCGCTCTTCCTTGCAGTCTGGTGACATGTCTGCTGTGTTTGCGGTTCTGAAGTAGGTTCCTTGGTAATGCATCCACATGCTACATTGCATTTGTAGTGGCAGGGACAGCAGTTTTGTAGTATACGAACATGCACAATGGTTTCAGAACTGAAATCGTGTCAAGCATGTGTCTGTGCAGCCATTCTTAAAAACAAGTCATGTTGCGTCTTGGAACTTGAGAGTTGGAGGACGCGCATAGCTACGCTCTCGGTGTTTCGTGGCCGTGTAAACTCTAACTTGAAGCGTTGATGGAGCTTGACCTGGAGGCATATGTTCCTTCTTTCGAACTTCTGGAGGCATTGAGCGATGCACTTTTGCTGCGAGCAAGTGATCGGCCTGGACCTCCTTGCTTGAAAGGTTTTTGGAGCATCCCTTAGCTGGAGGCAGACGACACGCACAAAGCTTTGACGCAAGTGGTGTTTGCAGACTTCTGTGAGATTGTGGCGAGCTATGCAGTTTTCACGGAAAATAGAAAGGGAGCATTGCCGTGGAGGCTCTCATGGCAATGGCTTCAGACCTGTCCCGAGAGGTTGCCGGTCCGAAACGCAATCCTCCTTCACCTGAAGTGGCAGCAGTGTTGCTCATTTATCGACAGCGGTTGGAGACGCTTTACTTTCAGCGTCGTAGTCTTCAAGAGGAAGTTTGTGCTCCTAGCACGCCTCCGTCAAAAACGTCCCGCCTTGGGAGTCCTGTGTCAGCGCGCAGAATCAAGAGTTACTTGGATCTGTTTGAGGATAACGGGCATCCGTCTCCCGTTCGACCAGGGGCGGACTCGCCGCAGACTTGTCGACACAAGAGGTGGGTTTTGGGGCAGGCTGTCACGTTCTTCAGAACATCACAGCAAAAAACGCACAAGCCAGACCAAGCGCAATGTCCGGATCATTGGCGGTGATCAGAAGTGCGAGAGCTTAGCCAACATGATGAAGTTCCAGCTACGACGTGTCAACCTGCTTTGGCAAACACAGCAAGAAGGACAACAAACATCATATTGACGGTCTTAGTGCCGTGTGGTTGAACAGTCCGACTGCCTTCGCAGATGTTCTATCTGCACTCGCAGAGTATCGACAAGCAATGCAAGATACCTGCTCGCTTTGCCAAGCTTACGTGTCTACGGCATGGTTACAGTTGCAGGACATGCAGCAAGAGCCGGCCTTGGATCGCAGACATCTTCCTCTCGCCGCATCTCAAAGGCGTTCAGCAGCACAAGGAGTTTGGAGCCATCAGCATGGATGCTACATGTCGGTGGGCACATCCCAGAGCGTCGCGAGAAATCATGGCTCAGAGAGTTTTTTGGAGACATTGCGCTGACCCGGGATCCTTGCTTGCACATGTCAAGTTACTTTCTTCGTCTGCGGTTCTTTTGTGTTGCACCATTGCGCAGCCACGTGGTTTACCTGTCGCGGGCGAACGAACGTGCTGCTCCTGCTGTGTGCCACGACAACAGACGAGACAAAGATTCTCGTGAAGGCCATGGCTCCATACCCCCATGAACACGTGCGAGCCAAGACCTCTGCATCAGCGATCTGACGAGTCATTTGACGATACAGCGCATTTCTGTGCGTGATGAGCCTCGAGATGTTTAGGATCTCCAATTGCAGCGGCAGTGCCCTTTTGTGAGTCTTTTGCGTCTCTCAAGAAGTCATTGATCTCCTGATGTAAATTTAAGAGGATGTCAGATGCCGGGCATGCAGGTTGTTAATGCGCCAGTCTGCGCGTGCTGCGGCGGCGGCCGAGTGCAGGACTTGATAAGCCTTACCATTCAGGCCTGGCGCGATGCAATCCTTGTCCTGGCGATACACAGTTGCCAGGGCAGCCAGCGATTGAGCCCACTCGGACCGTTCGGACAAATCAAGCGACGGCCTTTCCACAGTTTGACTGTCTACAGCCGTGCAACGCACTTGCTGGAGACCAGTTTTGGGAAGCTTGTCGGCTCCGCGCAGTGGCATGAAT